TGCAGACTGACCACAGGGCGGCAATGCGAGACACCCTCCAAGGAAAATTGGCAGCCTGGGGAACCTAGGACAGACAGAGAAGGTGGCGGTATTCCCATGCTGTTCTTGCTGCCGCTCGACTCTTGCGAGCTGGGACACCAGTCTTCGACAAAACAACTTTGTAACTGGAACTGAAGTGAATGGACAGTTTGAAAATACTTTATATTGGAGTATTTCACTAAAAATGAGGAAGCATATCAATATTTTATTAGCAGCATACTCTTCTCCCCCACCTCACCTGTAACAAAGGACACGTGTCATAGTCTAAAACCTAATTACCTTGTTTCAGCAAATACCCGGACTAGGGGACCCATCCACCCACCTCTGTAATACTACAGTGAATCTGGGCTCTCAGTTTGACTGGCACGTTCACACAATGTAACTTGTCTTCAGCATCTGTTTGTTGCCTTTGGAGTGGGTTGCCACGTTTCAAAAATTCCCTGCCTGCTGTGGAGATCGCTAGCTATTTTAGGAAAGCCAAAGTAATGGGCAGCAGTGTTGCTTGATATCTTGGCTATTACACTTAATTGCTGTGTAGGCAGCTGCAGCGATTGGGCTTTTGATATCTTAGTTGCTAGGAAGAAGGGGAGAATGAAGAGGGCAGTAAGCAGGCAGATACTGGTTTTATTTTCTTGCCTTTCTTGTGAACCTACCTGTTCTTACAGTTGAATTGTACATCTTCCCCGCCCCTCTCCCCTACTTAGCAGGTTAAAATTACACAAAAGTTTTCCTCTATTTCCTTTGATTTTTTTTTTTTTTTTTTTTAGTAGGCTGAAACAGGCTCTTCTTCACAGTATTATGCCTAGCAGGGAAGGACCCTTGTGTTAGGGGTGGTGCTGGAAAGAAGACCAAAGAGTTGGAACTAAAAGACAAGATCGGAAAACCACAAGATCTAGTGTTGCCTTTCCTGTAGGAGTCAGCTTTCTGTTTTCTGCCTTAAGCATTTCCATAAGAATAACTGGATTTTGAAGTGTGTGATACAGATGGCATTTGAGAATGATACCCTCTTGGCTGACGTTTGCCACTTTTCAGTCTTAAGACTTGAGAGTGGTCCTCTTCTAAGTTTCTGCCAAGTGTGGGATATGTGCCTGGCTTGGGTGTGGCGGTGGTAGAGGATTATTTTGTTCCACAAAATAGTTTAAGCCTTTTTATAGCAGATAGTTGTTGGCTAGGTGAATTTGGCAAAGTTGTCCAAAGTGAGTACTAAGTTGATGGCAAGAATAAGGGACTCAAAAGCCTCTTGGTTTATACGAGCTCCTGCAGTATATCGAGTGATGTGCTTGAGTGAGAGTATGTAATGGGATGCCCTGGTTAACTCTGCCACTCTTGTTTCCTAAGCTGTAGAGCTGCAAGCCTGAGTGCTGGGGCAGGACGGTGGCAGGCCCTTGTGTCCATGCTGGGACTGGCAGACTTCGGTGGGATTTGGCTAGCCCCTCTTCAGTGGGCAGGAATGGCAGCTTAACCTTTAAGATATGACTTCTCCTCTTGGCCCCCATTACCTACTTAGCAATGTGCTCTTCTCTCTTGGCTTTGTATCTCTCCTCACTTGTTCACTGTGTGTATGTACACATGTGGATGCATTGTGTATAAGAACAGGGACATGCTTGTAAACTTCATCATGAGAGCAGATTGTCTGTCCTTTGTTGAAAAAGAAGGAAGGAGAACCTGTTGTGATAAAATAGCATTATTGCTCTCCGTTGTTGTAAAAACCCTCAGAAGTGACTGACTCTTTTAAAGATGTCCATTATATCACTTAGAGTAAGCTGTTCAATTAATTTGAGTATGAATGCGTGTATATATTTACTTTCTTCTAATACATCATACATACCATATTTTGTAATGATGGAAGTTCTTGCTTTCTTTACATACTCTTTCAGGAGCCGATTTCTCCAATTCCTTTGTTCCAGAGCCATAACACTGGCAACTTCCACCCAAAAATTACTTTGGTGGTTGTCGATTATTGATCAAGTAACTTACCTTGCTTTTTGTCAGACTCCAGCCAGAGCAGGCTGCTAATTCTTTGAGCCACAGCTGCCCAGACCTCCTCTGCTACAAGTCTGTGGCAATGTAAGGGCTGCTTATGTGGAAGCAATTGCTTGATAGAGCTGCATATACCAGCCTGTGCTGCTTATCCAAGGGCAGCAGGAACCACTGGGCACCAGGTTGTTCCCTTCAGAACCGCCTGCCCAGTGGACCAGCAGGAATATCTCTGGTGTGTGTTCAGTAGAAGAGCTGATAAGAAGGTGAAAGGGGGGGGGGGGGAAATAAAAGGGAGGACAGATAGGCAAAATATAACTAGTTATGTAGAAGTGGAACAGGAAAGATGGAAAGTAAGGCAAGATCTGTGTAAGTGAAGGACCTGTACTGTGGGAGCACGAGTGCAAATACTGGTGCTGGAAATGAGATACTAAAGAAAATGCATCACGCCTGGTGAGGAGAGGTGAGGGGAAGAAGCAGATGGTGTAAAGGAAGGGTCATGAGCCCTAGAAATACGATGGTGAGGACCTATATAGGAACTATTGTTCTGCTGTTTCTCACATCTTTTTAATCCTGGTTTGTCCGCTTGCAAGCCAGTCCTTGTGCTTCAGTTATGCAAATATCTAAAGAATAATTACTAAAAACAAAGGTACATGCAGAGCATGGATACAGGAGGGGAATGTGTTCAGTGGAGTTGATGTGTTTGAGACTACTAGAAAAATAAATCAATGTTTGGTAGCTTTTAATATAGGTAATTACAAAGCTTGATGTAGAATAGCACTAGCTGTTTTATAACAAAGATAACTTTATTTAAGCCTTGTTTTGGTGTCTTAAAATCCCCAAGAAGCATCAGAAATCTTGCAAGAGCACCCAGCAGACTAGGAAGTTTGGAGGGCCTCAAACTTAAATTCTAGGATTATCTATGCCTTGGAAACTTTTGTCTTGCCTTTCAATAAAACTTGTGATGCTTTATGTTCTTGGAAAGATTGTGGGCAGCCATAAATGATGGGAACTTGGGGAAGTCCTAAATAAGCTTAATGAGTCTGGCTTTATTTTTTTACTCTTGCTAGAAATTCTAGGAAGAATTTCTTCTTAGTATTTTGCCCAGTTGCATGGTGACTGACACTTCCACTACTCCTTTCCCATTCCCCAAGTAAGTCTATACTCTCCTAGCTAAAATCCTCTTCAATGGGGTGAACCAGCACATTTTTCTAGGCTAGGAGTATGCCAGTTACATCAATTACTGCTGAACGATGATAACCACCAACTGGATCACATCTTTGTACCTTGCAGCTAAAGAAGTCGGTCATCTTCAGTAGTGGTAGAGATTTTACAACACTTTCTGATGGTGTGCTTCTAATAGAGTGATACTGTTTGTCCTCTACATCCAGAAAACTTAATTACGTGGTCCCAAATCCTCTACAGAAATCAAATACTTGCATGTTTATGCTTGTTTTATCCATTCTCTTGCTGTTGCTCTTAGTGACTAAGTATTTAATCAAACTAATTTAGGTAAATAGTACTTGCCAGTGGCAGTGAAAATGTTTGTGCTTCTGAACTTTAGGTTGCCACAAGAAGGAATTTGAGTCTTCGGGCTCAGTGTCCCTCTGCAGCTTCCAACTTAGTATGTCAGCTGACGTCTTGACACACTTACCTGGCAGGGAGAATTCTGCCTGATGCTGCATGATGCCAGAATCTTCTATTTTTTTTTTGCCATCTCCTGGAGGAGACACCCCTTCCTAATTCCATTAAAATGGCTTGCTTTCCTTGTTTGCCCTATTGTGCTCTTTACTTAGTTACTGTTGACCATGTGCCTTCTCAGTACCCTCTTTCTTCTTCTGATTCCAGTTCCCGTGTAGAAGGAAGAATGTCATCTGTCTGCAGTTGCAAAGAAAAGCATGGTTTCCTGGCTGAGGGATGGAGCTGCTTATAGTGACAACCTGTCTTTGGGCATCTGAGCCTCTGGTAGTCATCTGCTTAAGTTATGGCAGAGGCATGAATGATTCTGCTTATTTGCCAGGGAAGAGTGGCCCAGTTCCTCAGCAGTGCTGAGCAGCAGCTGTACTTTCTGCTCTCTTCACAGAACCCAGATAACATGTCACCCGTGTAAACATAAGCCAGTTCTTTGGGCTGATGAGGGAAAAAGGAAGTACTTAACCTACATATTTTCTTTAAACTCGCAGTCGGTTTAACTTAAGCTGATGGACTAGTCTTTCTTAAGACCTGAGTAAGATGACTACAGTATGTCTAGGTAGGCATGGAGAAGATAGTCTTTCTTTCTGGTATCTCTTTTAAAAAATAAAAAGGAACTTTGTCTCCTTTCTTCTGTCCCCAGCTTAACCACCCCCCTTCCCCTTTAGGTGTTTGGAATTTTTGGAAGAACAGTGGAAGCAAATAAAGCCACTATTCCTGACAGAGTGCTCAGGACTGACTTACAGGGGAAGAAACCATCCAAACGTAAATGCCACAGGCAGTGGCATGAAGTGGCTTGCTGGGGCACTGTTAGTGATGTAGGTTTCAGAAAATAAGCCATCTTCCTCTTGCTTTGCAATTCAACAGTACTGTAGCTTCTGTTGTGTTTACGGAGTACTGAATGAGCACTGCAATAAAGCTGCATCCTCTTTCTGCT